ATATTCACTGCATAAGCAGAAAAGTAGATTGATATGTATTCACAGTAATTCACAAAATCAATGTTTGGAGTTTATATTTATAGTGTCAATAAGAATAATATGACTTTTCTGCTGTTTATTTTCGTGTTACATTTTTGCTTTATTACTCTGAAGGGACACGTATTCCTTTTTCTATGAAACTCAATATTATATAAGCTAATAATACTGAATTTCAAAATGCATGTAGAATAGTGGTTTGAATAGATACGAGAGCCATCAAAGAGTTGAATGTTTGAGGAATAAAAAACTGTGTGTAACTTAAGCTTATATCAAAAAGACAAATTACGGACATACTTACACACAATAAACAAATAAATAGATAAATAAATAAATAGTGAGAAACTATACCGTGTAATATGCAAAATATCCTCACAAAAATACAAAGAAACACGGGCTCCACGTGCATCCTATTCATAGCAGTTGTTGTGTAGTAGTTCTCACCTCAATTGCTGGACCTTGGGATTCGAGTCTTCTGCATTTCATTGTCAGCTCAAGTCTCCCTCGGCAAGCCAAACAAATTTTCCTCTTTCTATCACCTTTGCTGTGCAAAGTCTTGCAAAATTTTGCTTCGCGCAAAGACACAACTCTTAGAGTATCCGCATTCGCTTCTCCGTGGTGCCAAGCGTCGTGACTTAGACACGAACATTTCGAAGAAAACGGCATTCCGCTCTTGAAACTTGCTTCAAAAGCACAACTGATTCAATAATTTTTACTACTGCAAGATGTTTACCGCGAAGAAGTAGTAATGAAGAACAAAACAGAGATTTTAAGACAACTTTTAACTTTAGCTTTTCTATCGCACCTATGAAGATTTCACGTGTGGAGGCGTGAGAATTTTGCGAATACTCTCCGAGACAAACCCCACATGCGATTGGTCAGAATTTTCAGTGGAACAATGGAAACGAAGTATTTACGGATATTCATGTATTCATTCGGTATTATTTCGCTTTTTTTTCGTATGAAATCGAGCGAAAACAAATTTCGACCAATCAGAGACCTGGAAATTAATCACTTAAGCCAATTATAGAGTCTCTGTACAGAGCATGCCCTGCCGTTGGTGCTATCGTTCTTATCGGTATCGTTACTTAATACTTCGGCTGTGTTGATAAGCACGGTGAGTGACGGCGAAATAAATCCCAGTCTTAGCCACATTTGCAAAAAGTTTGACATCGTGCCCTAGTGGTTAAAACACAGGCTTACTGATCAAGAGGTCACGGTTCGAATCCCAAATGATATCGTATGTTTTTTTTCTTTTTTTTGTTCTTTATTATTATTTTTTATTATTATTTATTATTTTTTCCAGCAATTCTTTTAAGAATGCTTACTACGTAACGGTGAATTAAACAACTGAAAGTTGGTTCAATTGAATCCCCGACCAACTATACGCACCGTTCCTTTTATTGTTTGCCAGTTTCCGTAGCGGCTCAAAATAGTATTATCGATGTCTAACCACACAATGAACTATGTATCAAATATTACAATGTAATAGTACGGTAGCGAGCGAATATATTTTTTGAATTGTAGACGAACGTGGATAAATAAAACACACGTAAAATGTTTTTCAAGACGAATTTAATGTCGGATCGGCGAGCCTTCCTCACCTTCCTTTGTGACTGAACAATACAACGAATCAAATTAGATTTACTTTACAAATAGAATTTTATGTAAACGACATTTGAATGCAGATTTTTCCGTTTTCTTATAGTTTTAACTTCGAATTCTAGACAAGCACGGTCGAGCGCCCATCAGTTAAAAGACAAGTCTACCTGATGTCATGTAACATTAGCACGCCTGGCCTAATCGGTAGTGCCTTTGATTTACAATCCAGAGGGCCCGGGTTCAGATCCCAGGTGACCCATTTCTTTGATTTCTTTATTTGCCAAAAAATAAATCAATTCAATCAGATATAGCACAGGGAAACCAGTAAAGAAAAATTAGATATGATAAATAATAATTAAGTAGAATACATTAATATAATTAAATGAATAACTGCTGACAAAGACATCGCAGGCTCGAGTTTACAGGAAAGTGATCGAGCGAGTGACAGCCGTCCCCTCCCAATAACTCTACGATTGCTACGCAATCTCCGAGTTAAAAATG